TAAGCGAAGTTTTCACTATCACCTGATTAAAAATCCCGGCTCTTAAATATGACCGTCCGAGCTTACCCCGATTTAGCGCTGTGTTTGATGTCAGCGAAGCTGCCAGCGTCTTGTACTGAAGGATACATGTGAAATAATCCAAATTTCGTCGCTCTTTCTGGACATTCTTTGTTCAATTATTGGTCTAGTAACAAGTTGTGTTGTTGAAAGCCTAGTAAAATCACCAAAGCTATTATGAATATGGTCGATCACCAGAACGAAAAGGAGAAAATTGTCTATGGAAAGGTCTCGATTTCCAGCTGCGGTTTGTGCATCTGGCTGTCTCATGCCGGCAGTTCAACCCAAAGGACTAGATGCTTCACATCTTCATACTGCTCACATATTTTCCGAATAGTTTGAAATTTCTGATCCGGACAGCATAGCAGCTTCTGCTGTATTTCGAGCAGGTGAATGCCAGCAATGAGTCTATCACGCAGCTGGTCTTCCAGTTGGGCACCGTAGTCACATTTGGCTTAACTGACAGGGCCGTCGGCGCCACTGCGTGGTTCTTACTCCTATCCCCGGTGAACGAAATTGCAAGCGCTAGAACCGCTGTACCCCGGCACACCGTCTAGCTAAAGAAAACTGACTGGATAACTAAATGACTTCGGAGAACAATTCCCCTAGCGTTCCTCAACGAAAGCTCTGGAGAAACCTCATGCATCCGATAGAATGATTGCATCAATTTCTCGTCGACGGAAATCCATTGTAGGCCAGCAAGGCAACTGGCTAGGATGCGTAGCGCCCTAGACTCTTCGAATAAGGTGGCGAAGTTGGCAAACGGTGTGACAGGTCTCCGTGATTCTGAATAACGACAGTAGGATTTTACAAGTTCTGTGGGCTTGTACCATTTCAAACACCTATCAGCCGCAGACATAGGATGTGAAGTACAGACAGATATAAAACGTACTATTTGAGATCTAAAATTCGGTACCGAGTAGAGTGCTGCTAAATACTCCCCAAACTCCGTAACGGGGACTACGGAAATGCAGCGCCATAGTAAGTCATTTCGAAGGCTCAGACTATGCTTTGTGTTTGGTTCTGATAAAGATAAGATAACTGTTCAGCTGTAATAACCCGTCGGCGTCTAGCTGCTATGGCACTCAAAGGAAGCATAAGGGGTGGGATGCTTCCTGGTCCTAAACAGGAGAAGTCGAGATGCCGAGGCCGGGTTCGAACCATGGACCTTCCAGTCAGTATATTCACGCTCTGGCTACTGAGCCACCTCACACCCGTGACTATTATTACGGCTTCAAAGGACGCCAAACTGACCCGGTAAGTTATCGGTATCACTTTGAAGAGAAAGTTGACATCAGTGACGTGGTCAGAGGAAGCTTGATTTCGTTCTTGCTGCGGCCTCTGTGGCCCACCGCAGGTTAGACACGCCTTTTTTAGTTTGCATCCAGTTATCCTAGTATAAGCACTGGAAATTCAGCCAAATGAGTTGATAACTTTTCAAGGTTAGACACATCCCTCGTTTTTCACAACGATCTTTATTGTCCTGTGTCAAAACCCCTTGGGTCTACTATTCACAATAGTTTGGATCTGGTTGGTTGCTAAATCCCCCTATACGGCAGACGAAGATAGTTGCTTTTCTGTTTTTTAATTCTGCCGCAGGGCGAATCCTGATGTGGGGTACTGTGAACTTTTTAGGGCGGTCAGGGTCCGTCAAAACATAATCACACAATCTGTTTTCTCCAAGCGAAACAAAAAATGTCAACTGAAAGACGTGTGGCCGGATGGTATGTGCAGCCTTCGGAAAGGGCTTAAAAATATCGTGCTGTCAACGTGACGGCCGTGTCTTCGAAGCTAGTAACTGGCATTACCTTGTCCTGATTCTTCGATTGTCGGGGAAAAGAAGTTTGCGCTATATAACTAAGTTTTTTCACCATAACCGAGGGTACTTTGACCATATCTTCGCTGTGAAAGAGGTGCTTTAACAGTGCCACCTCAGAAGACCAACAGTGGTCGTGTTTCTCGATCTAAAGATACCACTGTCTGTTTTATCTAAATTTCCATCTTTATAAGGTACTGTATTCCAGCTTCTATGGGCACTAATAGGCCTGCGTATAACATTTTCCTGTGTTAATCTTTTGTATGCGTTTACTCCTTCCATTAATATTTTGCCAGAAACTTCAACTGTCCCTAAAAATTTGGTCTAATGTCCCCGGGACGTTCGCTTACAATGGTTTAGTGTCCGTACGACTTTGTTTTTCTCTGTTCAGATCCTGCTAGTATATAAAACGCTCTAAGTAATCTTAGTGGTTTTGTTGGATATCGTAGAATGCGCTTGATGCTCAAGCTTTGAGTTGCTGTTACGCGACTAGTGGTCCTAGTCAACTTTCATCTGTGGAACCCCGTTTGTGGGTGACCTGCCACACAAGGGTGGAAATACTGACAGGCCAACCACACTTAGACACGAGCATTTCAAAATCCAGGGTTGGGTTCGAACCACAAACCTTCCGGTCGGTCGCTTCGTTTCTTAGCCACTAAGCTCTCTCAAGCTCCAAGCCACTGGGGTCAAACCCAAACCAGCCGACCGACTTTATATATAGGCTCATTTACTTGGACGGTTGCGTGGGTCCTAATCAGGAGGGCCACAAAAGATTTTGCGAACCTTTCAGACTAGTACTAGTAAATAACCTTTTAGATGTACCAGCCTTTCGGTGCTTAGCTGCCACACCACCCCTAGGGAGCACGTTGGTCGAGATACTCCCGGGTCACCCACACCTAGACAGGAAAGTCCTCGATGTTTGACCGTGGGTGTCCCAAGCGTAGCCCATGTCTGGTGAGAGCGTAGGCTTAACTTAGTTACACTAGGTGGTTTTATATAGAAGGAACTCTTCCGGGCTGGGCTGGCTGTCCACATTCTACAGGCTGCGATGGTTGGACTATGTGCCTCTGCTTTGCAGAGGTATCTCTGCCTAGACCCATGCGGTATAGCTACTACCAAAAGATGAACATTCCACCTGGAGATGAGGTATGAAAGCAATGACTAGTAAATTCAGTTGTGTTGATAAGTGACACTTCCCTAAGTAAGGACCCCGAGGCCATACCAGTGATTACTCACATCAGTGGACAAGACTTGGTTAACATTGTTGACGTTTCTGTAAAGAAGCTATCACCTCCAGTCCGTAACTACTCAGTCTCTGGTGTCACATGGGGTACTGGAAAAACCCACCTCTACTGTTTGGGCTCCTATTTTTCAGTGAACGAAACTGGAGCAGCTGGTGCATTCCTTATAGCTAGGTAACGAACTGATTAAGTGAATGTTCGGCGTAGGCACCTTGGATGCTTGTGGTTAGCAGCAGGCGTTTTCCCGTCAGTTTTTGTTCTCTTGTCCTAGGTCTTATTTGAGTAAATTAACATGGATTCATACATTTGATAACCAGCTTACACTGAATTTGCGCGCGATAACCTCACTGAGAGGACTGATGATGCATTTTTTGGAGGCACAATAACCAGCTTACACTGAAGTTGCTCTCGACAACCTCACTGAGAGGACTAGTTGATGAATTTTTTGAAGGTACGACGCACGTCAACTTGAGGCGCCAGTAAGGTTTGGACAAGGAAGGCTTGTTTATCTCTTTGAATACGGATATCGAAGGTTTATTTGCAGAATAGATCTCTTTGATTTACCGGCTCATGTCGGGCAGTCGATGCAACAAAGGAATGTGGCTCGATAGCTGATAGTAATCCGACGCGGCGGTGTCTAGTATCGAGTTTTGGGGAGGTTTCTGAAAGGAAGTCAGAGGACGAAGGTCCATATTGTCCGTGCTGAAGAAAAGTTTGGTTAAGTCTTTGCTGCATAGTTCTGTCGATCAAGGCGTTTTGGCGATTGAAGCTTCTGTTCGACGCCCCTGCAGGTAGCTATCGACGTTTAAGGCAGCCTGTCTTGAGAAATCTGGCCCACCTGACTGTGAGGGACAGCATATTTAATTGAATCTTGACGCTGCTGCACCCAACACATGTTGCTGGAACAGCCTCAAGATCCTGAAAGCTCCAATAAGTTGTTAGCCACGTTAAACGAATCGCGGAGTCTCTTAGTCGTGTCCGGACTATCATTATGTGCAGGTTTTAGGACCGTTCTTACTTGGAGATAAACATCAGCACCACTTTGGTACATAGGTAATATGAGTTACCTCGCATGAACATCCTCAAATTCCTACTACAGCGGGCTTTCGAATTCGCCAACGGACCGTCTCTTAATGTGATGCGGAGGCTGGCCACCCTCGGATAATCCTCATATACTTTGCGGAATCATCAAAGTACTCCAAAGCACACGACTCTTGAGCAACATTATCCGGTAACTCTGAGGGCCGACTGACTGGTTTGGAGTACTGCTATATCTGGTGGTCATTCGGACATTCACTTTTGTTGTAGACGGACTTAACATCTGCAGCTGACAGAATGATACAAACAAACAGTCTTTTGAAACTTTACAAAGGCAAATTAGCGTAGTGTCCGCTATATCTAGTGGTCATTCGGACATTCACTTCTGTTGTAGACGGACATCTGCAGCTGACAGAATGATACAAACAAACAGTCTTTTGAAACTTTACAAAGGCAAATTAGTAGTTCGTAGTGTCCCACATTGTTCAAGCGAATGCGCTAAGCATTCTTGAAGAACTTGTGATAAGGCGGGTTCGGTGCCTCCCTCAAAGGGCGGCAAATCCTAGGTGATGAGAAGCTTCATGTTGATGACCCACCTTCGGGGTTTAAATACGTCTATGAGTTAAGTGGTTATAGTTTTGATACCATTCGACCGTCTTTTGCACCACTTGGTTAACATCGCTATATAACTTCTAGAAGTGCACTTTGTATATCTCACATAGTCACATATGATATGTAGGTTGTTTTTTTGTTTACAGAGCAAAATTCCGATCCGATGAACTTGTTACCCTACTTCCTTACGTTCCTTCAGTATTTCTTTTTCTCGACAGGCAAGTTTCCCAGGTTATTTTATTCAATATCTTATGATTATAGCATGCTTTGCTTCGAACGAATTCTGTCCTGCCGCTACTGCCACAGCTGACATCAAACAGTGTTCCTGTGATACCCGGTAGGCATTTCTATATTGTAAATTGTCCAACCGCATTTTCGTAGCTATACAAAACAGTATATGCCTGTCAAAAATCTGCATTGGTCTGAGAAGAAACGTATTTTGGTAAGTTGTTTCGACTTATTCGCTACAGCATTTGCTCATGCCTTATTTATTTTGTTCGTATGCTTACTTTATTTCACTTACAGTGGGTTATGGTCTGTCTGCGCGCTTCACGTCGTGGCTATCTTTTCTTCCTGTCTGTGGAGACAAACGGTGGTGTCAGAAAGGCGTTCTTCGTCAGATCATATCTAGATAGTGTTAACATATTTACAAAGATCAAGCTATGGCAGAATGTACCGTCACTTGTGTTTTGAAAGGATGGAATGGGTAAAAGAAAGGTTTAACTGCCAGTGTTTTTCAAGCATTCCGAACAACTTGTTCAGGCTTTCATTTACCCACTCTACATGGGAATTGATAGTAAGATCACAAATGACTTTCGTTGATATCCATGGAGTGTGATATCTCCATCTGATGACAACGAGTGCATGAGGAGCTTACACTTTTGACCGGATTGTAATGAACCCGCAACTATCTACAGTTACTTTTTCGCACCATCAAATAGTTCGTTATCCTCCTTTTGATTTGCAGAACATGACCTCAATGTGACGGCTCATCTACGCACAATTGTATGGATGCGGGTAATCAATCAGCTACATAGCAGGTTTAGTTAAACATAAATCACCGTATAATAGAAAAAAATCACATGGTCGTGGTCAAGAGTTTATTCGCATAAAAACATCCACTTGAACCCGTAATGTCACCTCACCCAGTCTGGACGGATATTTATCATATATCGACTTGGAAACCCCATTCATTCGAAATTCGTGGTGGTGATAAATTTGATCATTTTCAATTGAGACTTCGTCCTGTTAGTAAACGCAATCTATGATGGAAAGCCGAGAACTACTGTTCAGCTGTTCCATCCTTGTGAATCATCTGCAGTGCGCATCTCACGGAACTCAGAGAGTTTTTAATCCGTGACCTGGTACCAGTGGTTGGGCGCTGTTTATTTCATCTGTTTACACTGGTGGTGGTCGTGAGTCCCCTCCAGTTTATGTCCAGTAAACGACACCGAAGACTATCGGTTCCACTTTTCAACTAAGCAGCTAAATGAACAAGGATAACAATTTTATTCACCTAGGGACTATGTCACAGTAAGGGCCCCGTTGGGCAACAGTTTTGTGACAGGCTTTTATTATCCTCAGCTTACGAAGTAGTTTTTACGTTCATACCACTATCTTTTAAACAGCCCATCCTGGCGCAGTTATTCTGGTGTGTCGGTACTGTAAAGAGAAATTCCTGAACTCAAGACTAATTGGTCCACCACGAGAGGACTGTTAAACGAGAGTGGTGTCAATGTAAATCCTACATATCGCGTAGCTATCTGCAACAGTGCTTCTTATTAGTGCACAAATATCCTGTCTGACCGCCGCTCCAGACCTCGCATTGGTTGTTCCAATATGCTTGATTGTGTTTGGCTCAATTCGTAGTTGGTGCTGCACTGCCTTGCGTCAGTCGGTGTTCGTTATGTCTTGATAGTTTTAATCGAACTATTAACCAAAACAAATGGAGCTTACTGTGGACTACGTCTGCTTTCGATTGTACATAGTAGAATAACTTCGATGACTGGTCGGCGGGCATTGGACTAAATTCGTGCGCTTGTTGTTTGATCGCGCTGTCGCTGTGCAGACATCTGATGTTTGTTACGCTGTCATTTGTCAGTGCCACAATCCTAATGTGAGCTGTATATGGCTAGATGGTTAGAATGCGAATTAACTGACCGCCAGGTCCATGGTTCCAGCTCAACCTCTGCATCTCGACTGCTCCTGTCTGGGCTTGAGCAGTATCTCAGCTCTCGTGCCTCCTTCGAATGGTATGGCATTCAGGCACTGGGAAGGTGTTACGGCTGAACGATTATTGTTAATCCCGATGTAGTCACTGTAGCAATCAGCTGTAACTAAGTGCTGCTTCTTAGTGCTCATAACCGTACCTGTTGCAACTATTTACCCGAGATGGAGCTAGCAACTCGCGCACTTCCGTGAGCTCTTTCGACTGCTCCGGTCATTTTCTTGAATTCCTTCACACCACCCTTCAGTAGGCTATTCGTTTCTGACCAGCAAAGTTTCCCGCTGGTCCTATGGGTGTTGTTATTAACTCTAGATTGCGTCAACTTTATGTCCTTCATCAGTTCCTTCCACAAAGTAACCTGTATCGCCGTACGATTTTCTAGTAGCACGTCCTGTCCGATGAGGTTTTGTTCATAGTCGCCGTGTAAAACTTTCAGCCTCCTGGAACCTCAGCTTTACTTTGTGGTAGGCTGTTGACAAGTGGTGGGTCATGAGCGCTTGGTCCTTTTGGCTTCAACAACTAGCTTTGACTGTTAGTACAAAGTCGACCATAGAAAAAGGTCGAATCCTGAGGCCCAAGTCTCGCCCCCTAAAGTAAGATTCAGTGTCGTCGGTGGGTACCTGCGGTCCCGGTTGTTTGGATCGCTGGTAATCGTACTCCTCAATTCTCATCAAAATTTTCTGCACGTCCTTGCAGAAAGTTTGAGAAACAACTGGTAGGTTTATTTTTGAGCTTTTCTGAAACGGTGGTTTTTCGATCGTTTCCAAGCGTTTTCGAACGGATTCTCTGCACATGTTTGGGCAGTTCATTTAGGGGTCTGTGACTATTGCCTTACGTTCAGTAAACACGATGGCTTTTCTGTTGAATTTCTATTTGTAGGGTCGTCTCATATCACGGTGAAATGATTACTTTGAAGCCCTTTATGGTCTCTTTCCGCTTCGATCAGATGACGATATCTTTTGCCTCTTGATTTTCTTCTCCTCACAAGAGCCTTCCTGAGACCACTTTTACTGCTATCGCATTCAGGAGGAGAGGTAACTTTTCTTGACATAGCGCGCTATTCTTAAGGCTGCTGGAAACTTCTTGATAGGGCACTACTGGTGAGATACTCCTGACTTCTAGTGCGCTAGCGCCCAGGCTTTACTTTCTGCGGTCTCTATTGTTTCAAATACCCTTTTGTCCCCCCCTCCAAACCGGAGTCAGGCCTAACATGTGTGGCCGACACATACAGTTGACCATCCCGGTGAACCCCTTGTCATAAAATCCCCAAACGCAAAAAGCCGTCCATAATTCGTGTTACTGGAGCAATGGAATCTACTGTCACCGTCAATAGGACTGCACTCTTCGGTACTTACACATCGCTTCCCGCTATTTCCACTTGCTTAGCTCTCAAGGTCATCAAGCCAACTGAGTTTACGAAACTGCCAAATTAAACGGAGAATATGTCAGATATGCTTCTGCGATTGTCATGCTAAAGCCCTGCTATGAGTGCGTCGTGAAGAAGAGGTTTGTCTGGAACGTAGCAAGTGGAATGAAAATGCACTACATGCAAGACATGCATTTCACTCGTATGCCTTGGAAATGAATCGGGCTGTTAGAAGAGGGGATCGGACTAGTTTGCAAAAATGTATGCTTGGGTGCGGGGAATTGGAAGAACTGCGAGCTAACGAAAGGTGTGGACAAGCTTATCGAATGCGCAAACGTGGATGTTGATGAGCTGTTGTGATCTTTACAAAACCTGGCGTTCTGGGCTGAACATAGCTTAAAAGCATCGACAGCAATTCTGATATTCGTCAGAAAAGATCTATCTAGGAAAGCTCGCTCATCTATGGTGGGTGACACGTTTTCCTCCCTGGAATTTGAGAGTTTCTGGTGCTGGTTGAAAGAAATCTGTCTGTAAGCGGAGCGATTTCTCTTGATGGTTCAGCGTCACCTCCTCTCCTAGCCGCATTTGTGATACATCCTGTTTGTTCAGGCGAACGTTTAGGGTATCGCTCACTAATGTAGCTGGAAAGCTATTTTGTCGTGCGAATGATTCAGATTGGTCATAAATACCTTTGAGTGAATAACCGAAGACGACAACCACTGATCAGCGTGTGTAACAGCTGGTTAGTCAGGCAATGTCATAGGTGCCTGGTCGCCGTTTGGGGACAATTCCTTTGGCAGTCTGTATCATGGAGTCCTTCGGCGTAACTACCCACCCGTGGCTCTGTTTTAGGAGTTTTTGCGAGAAATCAAGCAAGGTTCTGTTTCTGTTTTACTTACATAAAGCTCTAAAAGATAGTATACTAACCTGTCCAGACCTTTTTGGGATATGCACTGCAGCGTGCTGTATGGTAACCGTTTGTGCTGTACTTATAGAAAAGGCCTATTGACTGCATGCCCCATCTTCCATCGTCAACTGAATTTGAGGATCGGCGACAGATCAGCTAAGATCGGCTACAAATACACCGGTCGAGGACCGGTTGTCTATACAATGGTTATTCTAGGGCAAACCCTACTACATAAATCAACCTATGGCCTGATTTCCTGTTGCCGATTCCTGTATGGTATATTCTTTTGTGATGACTCGATTGATATGTTGAAAGGAGACATCTAATAGAATTGACCACATGCACAGAGACAAACCTGGCCAGCAAGCAAATATCACCCTACGCGGAAAGAACTAAGACACTCTACACAGCATGGATCAATAACTCAATAAACAACAAGAATGATCAGTATGCGCGCGTGTGTTATTGTTTTGGAGGCGAAGGCTGTGCTAGTCACCACTCTAGCCCCGTTGAGTGAAAACTGTCTGGCTTTGGGGGCAACCTGATATCCTTTGTGTGAGTGCACAAATACAATGAAAGTCCAGTTTAGTTCGGTTGCGACACCCTTTCGACATGTAGCTACCAAATATATCGAAGAAACCCTTAGGCTGCTCAAGCCTGGACAAAGTCAACCGAAAATCCAGCGTCAGGTTCGAATCACGAATTTTCAGCTCTGTAGGTTCGCGTCTTAGCGACTGAGTTATGTCAAATTCAATATAGAGCGCTTGGTTCTCGAACCAGCGGAAAACATATGTAGGCTCCACGCGGATGTATTCACAGGTGTTCAAAATGAAATCAAGGGGACTCATCGATAGTGTGAAGTTGCGTAATCTTCACTCTTCAGGTGTCCCCACTCACTTTTACTATGGAAAGTGTTGAGTAGTTTCATGACACTTCGATCAGTTGAGGATTAATGTTCTCTTGTTCAGCTTCGGCCTTGCGTTAATTTACCCACATACTGCCTTGAATTCCTTCCAATCTTTGCTGATTGAATCCGACGCGTTGGCTCTTCCTGTGGATCTTAAAAATTCTACTTTTGTGTTTTCTGAATGATGTCATTTGCCTTCTAAGGTGTGACCTTTGTTTGTTCATGAATTTCTACTGCTTTGGGAACTATTCCCACTGCCGTCTTATTTGCAATGGCCTGAGTTCGGTCATCCTTGGTGTCGTTGATATGACCACTCGGTAATGTCGCGGTCCTTTTGGTTGGTAGTTCGGTATGTGCTCAGTTTAGCAGGTAGGAATACCACTCCAGCCAATTTGCTGTTCACATTCAACAGCAGACCAGTAACAATTTATGACGGGAAAACCGTGTAGGTGGATTAAGGATTTGTGTCTTCGCTTGGTTAATTAGTGACACTGGAGACCCCTTAAGCGTCTCGTGGATGCGCTCTCGTTTTCATAATTCCCAGCCGGTGATAGCCACTATAACTAGGGTAAGCCACCATTGATATGTGTTTATATTTACTCAGTCAGACGCGTTGGCTGTGCACAACATGATAGTTTCCTATCCATCCTTGGGCTTGGTACACAAGATCGTTCACCTAATAGATGTGGATCACATGATAGATATAGGTACAACCTTCATTGTGCTCCGTTGATCACTCATCTGCAATGTCCCATCTAGTTATGGCATCACACTAAGTTCATATTTGGTCGACCAACGAAAGGTCAATAGGTGGCCCAAAAGAACCAATTAGAAACTTCCAAAAACAGTTTGCGCTCTGTTGCTGCATCCTTTCTGGGAATATGGTATTTTCTTCCCCTGTTTGTGATCAGTTGGACACCCTACCTTGTAAAGGTCGCTGGCACTTCTTCTACCATGTTATACTAGGATTGTATACTCTAGTGCTTGTGTAGGTAATCCCAAATGCGTGTACAGCGTGAATCACCAGCATAATCTATGGGGTCACATCCAGTCCTTACAAGCCGGAGTAATACGTGCCTTGGACATCGGTGAGGCCATTATCAACAGGTTACAGATTCCTCCTACCCAAAAGACAAGGCAAGGTTAAATTAGTGTTCATATCAGAACAGGAATTCCTGGTCTTGTATTGTGTCAGCTATGACCTGAGAGAAACAAATGGAAATTCTGTTCCAACAGTTTGTTGCAAGCCGATAAGTGGCTATTCAATTGTCAGACTCCCCTTCTCTGTTGTTTTCCTATATCTTCTCATAGCAGTGTATGTTATTGTCACTGAGTTTTTCACTGGTTTCTGCTTTTAACCGCGCCAGTGTCCAGAGACGCACATGTGGCGATCTAGTCCAACTGCAGTATCCTTGTTGATCTAGGCTAGGTTATCTCAGTGTACGCATCAGTTTACTTTCCATATATGTGGCACATAAGCTATGTCGATGGATACCTCGACTGGTGAACTCTGTCCGAAGTATCAGCAGTTGCAACAATGAGTTCAGTTACAACCCGGATGGAAAATTCACTGGTTCTCAGCTGACCTTCACTAACAACGGTTAGATTCCCGAGACCTTGTAACAGAAAATCAACCAACGGCCGTTTAAATCACTCACAGTCAATAACTCGAGTGGAGCCAATCTATTTTTAAAATCCGAGAAGCACAGTACAACTGTTTCATCCTTATCGGGATTCAGGAGCAGTGCCCACTCTGAGGTCTAAATCTTTCGGCCACGGGCAACTGATCACCAGTGTAATTAACTCATATTAAGACAGGATATGCCCCCGTCACCCTTCAGTCACAGAATTGACGTTGTGTAGTCACGTGTCGATTGACTGCTCGACTGACGATTTCTCAGATGCAAGACCATCTAATAATATATTGTTGAGAGAAATGTCGTTGACTGCGCTGCATCACACTATGTCTCCCCAAAAGCACAATTGTGGTCCTTGAATAAGGACCTGTGCATTAGTAAATGAGGATCCGTGTGGAAAAGCTACCTTCGTGGTCGATGTCCTCACTTCACAGTTCGTCTGTGGAAGTGGTAAACTACACTTCGGCCACCTGCGTTTTAGCATCGTAACTGAGATTGGTTGTCTTGCACAGGTACGATAAGCCATCGGTTCTGCACCTCGCCCAATAATTGGCAAATCCTCCCAAAACTGCGATCGTCATTGCGGTCGTTGACACTCCTCCGACATCACCTTCATCTGCCTGGATAACGTATGATTCTGGTGCGCTTCCTTACATTCATTATAGCTTATGTTTCAAAAATCTTGTAATTATGGACAAAGAGGCATGGGAACTCTAGACACCTCAAGCTAGTTTACAAGCTAGCCGGAAATTACAGCGGTTGTTAAAGGTAAAACACGATTGCCGCTGTCATCTCTCCGCACCCCGTGGTGAATCAATATCTCGCGATTTAGGAAACGGATTGTAGCAGGAATGGGCAAATAAGTCGCTGTTACCTGCATATAAGCACTCAGTTCTCATCTTTCGAAAGTTGAAGTGGACAAATCGATTTCGGTAACAGCCAAGCACGGTAGTCACATTCTATCCACCAGCTTTTTGCCATGGTTCAAGTCCATCTGTTCAGATTACCCAAGATTGCCGTGAGAACCGCGTGATTCCCCCGCGCCTGGTTAACGACGCTGCAGGGCTTTTTGCCATGGTTCAAGTCCATCTGTTTAGATTACCGTGAGAACCGCGTGATTCCTCCGCGCCTGGTTGACGACGCTGCAGGGTGTGACTGCCAACCGATGTCAGTGGCGTTCTTGTTGTCAGTTTCTATCCAGATTGCCTGAGTGAATGTCTGGATGTGTAGGCACCTGGGAATGATTGTGTTAAGCTAGCACTAAGTCCCTTCTCCGTTCAACTTCATTCCTTTCTTCTTAATAAGGTTTCCAAATAAATCATAGTTGTACAGCAGCGAATCATTGGTGTTGAACACTGATGTCATGCCGCCCATGATGATAATGCCGTGTGCAATGACGTTCCGTCATGTATGCACCTACCGCTTTCTTAATATTTCGTTCACGGTAGTTCCGGAGAACTGTTTTTGTTGCACCTAAACTGCAACCGAATCAGCACCTATGCATTGCATTTGGTATGTAAATTTTATTTGATTGCTTGTAAGCTCTTTTTCGTCCAAACTGGGTGTTCATTTCGCATATTTCCGGTGTGATTTACCTAACCGGAATCTTCAGTAAATTGTTTACGCGCTTACTCCATGCACCAGTTGTAACAACATCGCTAACTCGTCCTATTTATTGCCTGCACAAGATTGCTTTTGTTCTACTGTGCCTTGTTTTGAGGCGGTCCCATTCCTGATTACTTGACAGTTCAACATACCAATCGATCTTTTTCAACGCCTGTGCTTCACAATATTTTGATCAACTCGGGTGCCTTCTGTGTCGTTACATTCAGTCGAGTTAAGTTCTGTCTCAGTGACCAAGTTCCCGTTTGCCCTGTCAGGTTACCGGGGGTGCAGGCTTTGTTGGATCTCATCTAGTCGATCGGCTAATGCAAGACGGTCATGAAGTACTGGCACTGGATAACTTTGCGACCGGAAGACGACACAATATAGAACATTGGCTGGGACATAGTAATTTCGAACTGATTCATCATGATGTATCTGAGCCCATTCATATCCAAGGTATGTTTGTTGTGTTCACGCAATTCTTTTGTCTGTTTCTCACTTGCTGTTCTACCCATTGCTTCATATCGAAGTGCGACTGACATAAAAGATGGTGCTCCGAAATCAAGAATGAACTGATCGTTTGAGTTTTCTCTAGGATAACATGTTGGATTGGGCAACATTGTTCCCCACGTGGATGCTTTTGTGCACAATAAGTGCATTGCGACGAAATCTTGTTCGACAGAACATAATTCCGTTTTTTGTTAGTCAGAGCTGTTCGTACTCCGAGCAGTTAGAAAAGCGGAATAGAAATGAGACGCAAGAAGCTTGAACTGGGTCAAATGAATCTATCCATTTTTTAAATTGTCAATTCAAAAGTTGTTCACTCTTTGTAATTTACTACTCATAAGTTTGCTGAAAATCGGTCGACAGCCCACGACCGGTTTCGCCCTTTTTGGGGCTCATCAGGTAGGCGCAATCCCCGGGTTTCCGTCAACCTTATATTCTACTTGAAACCAAATTGCACGAAATTAGCGAATATACACTCATTTGCAAACTAATTTGGTTTTTCGAGAGACTCACCTGGAATCCAGCTGAATCTGTCGTTTGTGATGTTCTCAATTGTTCACTCTTGTTTGCCTACCTTCGATTTATTACCCATTTACCCTTCCCATGACTGTCTTTTCTTTATGCAGTTGACGAAATCTACCATTTGGCTTCGCCAGCCTCTCCTCCACACTACATGCTCAATCCTATTCGCACAATCAAGGCCAATACGTTGGGAACACTGAATATGCTCGGTAGGTTACCGCACCGCATCCATACATTTTCCCCTTCCGTGTTCTCAATGACAAAATAAAAATAAATATTAATCGTTCTGCTGTAGCATTCTTTGGGTGTCTAGCTGTAATACCATCCGAAGGAGGCGTAAGAACCGCGATACTTTCAGGTTGACCTTGTCTATACAGGTGCCGTCGAAATGCTGGCATTGGGTTCGAACCTTTGACCCTCCAGTCCGTATCTCGATGACAGCAAAATCCAAAATTAGTGATAAGTCCTGTCACAAATCTGGTGTGTGTTATCGTCGTTACAGGTATCGTGGTTGTTGTATGGCTGTGAGACTTGGTCTGTTCCAGCAGTGGAACGGAGACGTCTTCAGATATTCGACAATCGTTGACCCTTCTACCGGCTATCCTTTCTTTGTTCCTTCTGTCCTTCTGTCTAACATATATTGGGTTCACTAGTGCACCACAGTATTGTTTTACTAGTTATTTGGCTGCTTAAGGGATAATAGTAAGAGGTAAAAGCATCTTCTCCATCCAAAAACATTGTCACGACAATTTCCCTCCCATTCCTAGTCTTTGGATCTTCTTGACCTCGGGCATCCCCGGTTTCACCGTAGCGTATAGGGTCATTTTCTGTCAACCGTGTGTAAATTATCACTGATGGGTGTCATTGATCATTGTCATTCACTCCGGTTCTGGCGGCTGCGTATCCGCCAAACGCTTTTCTGGTGATTTCTCACGTTTAGAGAACGTGTTCCGTACAAGGTTGTATTTCCAGGGTGGAATTCGATCGTCCTGGTACCGTTCTGTAATGCCCAACAAATGCGCATGACACCGAACCTCATGAACAACATGGTGAGTGTACATTTTTATCGGGAGAGCACGTGCGAAATCACCCGCTTCACAGGTTAGCGCGTGTGCATTTGATGTGCGCCTCCATTAATCTTGTCTTTCGATCCTAAGAACAGTTTCCTCAATGTGACAGCTGGTTTGTGGGCGTGCTGAGCCACCTCCTCGTGGTTAGCTAAAAGTTCAGCAATTCCAGATAGGACCAACCTCTTTGTTTCGTTTCAACGTACTGGTTTCTGGGCTGGACATTCTCAAGGTCACAGTCAGTAGCTTGTCTCCTCGCCTTTTCGGGCTCCGTACATACTTATGACACTTTTATACGTGGTACTTGGCGTTGCGTGTTAAATCTTGCATTACCTCCCACACTTAACCTTGTACAACGGACACCCTGTGCCTGATGTGCAAATCTTGACTCTACTAGCACTTACCACACCTTGAAGACCATTCAGCATTGACGCAATACACTACTCATAAGGTTGTTGAAAACTCCTTGACAGCCCACGACCGGTTTCGCCCTCCTTGGGGCTCATTAGATAGTCCTCGTATCCTAGTTTCCGTCAACTTTATGTTCTAATTGAACCCAAATTGCACGGAATTAGCGGAATTCACATTTGTATACCAATTTGGTTTTGACGGGAGAATCACCTGGAACCCAGCCAAATCTCTCGTTTACGATGTATGTATGCATGCATTCAGCATTGTTTAGCTCTTCTTCATTTGTTGATCTTTACATGAGTTTCCACGCCAAACATTCTTACATACCTCAGATACCATTTTCCCTGACTGCAAGCTAGTAATGGAGTGCCTTCGAATGAAACGTTCCTCCTTTTGTAATGATCTCATGTATATCTTTTTTTTCATGATCGTGTTCCTCGAAAATGAACGATAAACCTTGCTGTGAATTTCCATATGATCTTGATGTACGCATTATCCGTTTAACTAGTTGATCTTGCTGCTCCTGTTGTTGTCCGAGTACCAGGGAAAAGTGCAAGAAACAACGACGTGTGTGGAATCAACTGCATGGATTGCAACGAATATATCTGACACACTGGAAGAGAACACAGCACCTATCTAAGGACACGATTCATCGTCTCTTATTTTCATGCATTGAGATCAGGAAGGACACAAGTTTAATCTAGTAAACATGAAGATCGTGGCGCGCGAAATCATAAGACGTGGTGGTGGTCCGCAAAGGATTCACTCAACCGACAGATGGAAATTGACTCTGCGTACGCATCACTTCGACTGAGAGACCGCCAACTTAGTTATAACACTGAATAGACTTCGGCGATCAGGCTAACGGACCGAGAAATAGGACTTAGTGTGGAGCCAAACGAACAAATGTCGCGACGGTGCGACCGGAGAGTCAGGGTTCAAGACCACCTACATATCCACTAATCAGAATACTGGCCAAGCAACAAGCCAATAGGAAAGCTTATCCGAACGACCAGGTATCAGTCAATGTTGGACTAGTATGCATGCGCAGCACGTAGCCGCCATTGAGCGTGAGAGACACTAGCCGGTAGCTACCAGATATCTTCGTCTTGAAGAGACCGGCTGTCCTATTCCTAAAGACTGATATGTCGTGCACGTTTTATGTGAAGCTGTTTTTGTGGGTTTCCGATACCCGCAAACCTTGCGCTGAACTATCCTATCAGAAGCGACGGGGCTGGTCGCTGAAATACAACTTCTTCAGTGTATGGAACAATAAGCTAATCCAAATGGGTTACTTTCCAAGATCAAAATGGTCCTTTGTTTGTGAAAAACAGTCCTCGTCGGTGAATCTCGACCAGTCTTTTACGAACATTTTGTACCGTTTCGTGGTGGTTCTCCAGCAAAGGAGTATCACATGCCTGGATTCAGCACGCAGAAAACGATTCGAGCAAGAGCAAGAACCATTCCAGCAGGAGCTGTTTCACGATCATCTTCACTCACAAAGTTAAATCAGAACAGGCAAAATGAGAATTCCTTTGTGCACCACTTGACAATCGGAGTGTGGCTGTTGCACACAATAGATCGAAACATGTCTAGATTGATGATTTTTCCGCTCCAATATCTGTCGAATTGTAGGCATCTGGTCACCGCAGCCACACCCGGTGTCGGAACCAAACTGTCTGTTTAGGGGACGATAACCTACGGAAAATGACTGCTATTGATTTTGAACTGATCCTTCAGTCTGTACATCGTTCATTTCCGAAACTGGGAGACATACTGACAGCGGGCGCTATTGTTGTCGAGGCGAAGGGCCCTTTGCTGCGGAGTCTGAGGAAGGTGTTCAGTGCCGTCAACTTACCCGGTTGGTCTCCAGTTTAGCCGCCTCCGCAACGTCCTCGAAATCCTCCAAGACGATCCACACATTCCCATCCTCAAAATGTTGTGGCTACGGGATCTTCATCCGTATCCTGGTCACATTACCTTTCTAACAGCTAACTGGTGTTTCTGACAAGTATGATGTAGGCCCGTACGCAAAACATCGTAGGAAGATCTCAGTTACTAAGCCAGCCAGACATGAATGTAAACAGTTATCGACTGGTGAAATTTCACATAAATCCGCGCGTATTGTTTGAGGACTGTCTCAAGGTTGACTTGTCCGGAAGTTAGAAAATAAAAAAATAACCACTCGGTAATCTCTCCGACGTGCATTCTCCAATAATGTTCGATTTTTTCGAGAGAACCGACGCTTATTTTACTTCATCGACTTCCCGAGGTACGAGAGTAAAGGCGGTGAAGAAAACATCAATGAACTAGCTTCTCTCAAGATAATACAACGTGTTAGTACACTTCCGCACAACCTCTATGAGGTCAAACCAAATGTTCTTTTGATAGTAGGTTGGGGTTGATCGTGCAAGGTTTAACATTCCACAGACTCAATAGGGCTCTTCTCAGTTTGTCAACATTATCAAATTTGGATATTTTCTCCCTTGGTATTGTTTCGCACTTCGTGAATCTGCCGCTGAAATAAGCAACCCATGAAATACACTTATTTGAATACCGATTTGCTTTTATCGGAGACTCACCTGGATCGCAGCTGCATCCCTCGTTAGTGATATCCTCCGACTGAATGTGCTGCCGCCTCGCATTTCATTTGATAAGATATTCAAGATGTGGAAGCATATTCGCTTGAACGAAGCAGCTCATAGGGTTGCTGAAAACCCTTTGACGGTCCTCGACCGGTTTATCCCTTCTTATGTTCTAATCGAACCCGAATTTCACGAAGTTAGCGAACTGCACTTATTTACACACCTGTCTGGTTTTAACAGGAGATGCAAATGAATCCCAGCTGAACAAAAGATTGATGAAAACTCGTGGATTGCGCCTACTTGATTAGCCCCAAGAAGGACGAAACCGGTCGTAGGCCGTAGAAGAGTTTTCAGCAACCATATGAGTAGGTTCCATCAAGAAAACGACGTGTGACTTTATGGAGTGTTGTGACAAAAGTTGATATTACACCGTATTACTAAAAAAGCTACTCATATTGTGCACTCACGACGTTCAGCTCACACTCGTTAACGAAATCGAGCGATGAAAGAACGCGTTCCATTGACATCTTCGCTTACTCCCATTCTCGCGTTTATACTCATTAACAAACCACCGAAAATCACACGTCACCATATTTGTCAAGAATTTTCCTTCACTTCTGGCATGTGTCCTGTCAAAGAACTACATGAAATCGAACGAAATATTGGAAAATTTCAACTCAGCTCACCGTCCTGTTAATATCTATGCCCACCAGATGCCTGATGAGCTGCTTGTGTTTTTGAAAGGGGAGAGAATGGAGCAAGACATCGGGGCGTACATAGTAAACAAACTTGGACTATTCAGTAGATACGTTTTGATATTTTTGCGACCCCTAAGACAGAAGCTAAATTTCCTAGGATGCTTAACTGCGAGTTCGATGCAGATCTTTACCAATGACCGTACACGCCGAAAGCCTTACACCACTGTTTTATGCAGAATGGTTGCTCAACTTGTTTGGAGTCTGTGATACCGGAACCAAAAAAACGGGTCCTTGAGAGGAAGCGCATTCTTCCCAAGATTGTGGACATTTGCGAAAGTAATTCCCGGAAGTCCAAAGAAATTTGTTGAGTCAACGTTCTTCCTTATCATCGAATCGCCGACTGCTACCAAGACCATCTGCATAATCATCGTCATTGACAAAAATATTTCAGGTTTTACCACCAACTTCTGTACCCTTGTTCGCCTGCTCGTTTCAGGCATCCTAGGTAGGTCGTACAACGGGGCTTTTGTTGGACAGGGTACACGACTTGGGTAGATATAGTACCCTTCTTGTACTCCACTGTAATCATCTCCTGGGTGTCTAATAGTTTGTCGCTCTCTGTGAGATTCCTAATCCTCCATCCTCCCCCTATTCCTTCATATAAGCCTGACCCTTCCGATCTTTGAACTTTTACCAGCATGCAGTCAGTCTCTTCCAACAATGACCTGATTTTCTGTCACGTCGGACTTTGGGCCTGCATTCCTCTCCCACCTTAACACACTCTCTGTTACACCCGGTTCCTCTTTCGTCGATTTGTTTCACTGCATGAACATGAATCTGATGTCACTTTGGATAGCGGGTACCAAACCGAACAGTCTGGCCGGTCGGTACGACCGGAAATTGGGATGAAATAGGCATCCCTATCTAACCATTATTTTTCTTTTATTAGAAGGTTACCAATCTAGTTCGTCCGAGATAAAGAAACGATGATGTTTTGTTGAGTCGGTTGCAACGATCCCACGTACGTTCCGACGACTGGGATTGGCCATGAGACGTGCAGTTCTGGCTCCTGTTATGTGGTTGATCAGTATCTTCTTTTCTAGATGATCATCATTCGTCAAGAGGACCTGTTTTCATGAATCGGTCGCACTGAATCAACCGATATCTATGTGTTGACTCAACTCCATGGGAACTCTCGGAAACCAGTGAATCTAGCTAGAGCCGCGAACATCGTAACACCAGTGATAACGTAATGCATATTGTCCCCTGTTTATACATACGCGTTGTGATGTGTACGGTT